TCGGCGTTTCGAACTGCGGTAGGTTTCCCTCACCTACTCGACAGCGACACCGCTCGCTCCGCGCGCCGATTCCCCCATACGCGTTTCCCCCCACTCTGCGCCGTTATCGACGCTCTCACACGCTCCCTGTTTTACTTACAGGTACGTACTCGCTACGAAATTTTGGGTAAGGGTCATACTGCCGAAAGGGCCAAATTATCGACTGGGCCAAGTTACCGACGGGGCGGCAATTTTGATATGAAGGCCGGCTTACGCTAGAAATGTCACTTTTTCATTCAATAGGTTACGTTTCCCAGAGTTTGGAAATGAAAAACATTTTAATTAATATTTTCAATTAACAACCTCTAATTGATCAGTGAAACTAATGAATGATGGCTAAAATTAAGCTGAATATATGGAATCACGACAATTCAGAGGAGAGGTGAGTATTGCTCCAATATAATTGATCCAGAAAGCATTTATTATTGATGAGTGATTGATTGATCAATCCTTGATATTTTTGACAACATAGATTGCTCCTCGGGCCAACTGTGGAAATAATGAATGACGAACTGTGGAGAGCTCAACCCGAGTTTACAGAGTACAACTACTCTCTTCACATATCACTAATATCACCTGAAAAGAAACCGAAATCAGAAAGAAATGTTCGAGAGACCCCTCAGCAGCCCCAGGATGGATATTTATAACCAGGAACCTTAGAACATCAAGCTCAGTGTATGAAATGACTGCATCTTCTGATCAATTAACAACTTACGTAGAGAACGAGCGAAAAATTTATTTGTAAGTAGTTGATGAAACCAAAAAGTGTCGAGAAATATTTCTTCAGTGTTATGCATCTATTGAATAACTCTGCTTGAATTTTCTTCAACAGATTCTTTAGGTGAACGCGATCAACGTGAATCGGACAAATTTAATTGAGAAAATTATTCATATAATAATTTTGGTGAATGAATAATTAGCTTGCTATGTAATTCTTTCTGGAAGAAATATAAGAATACTTGTTTAGTAGAAATTATCATCACATAAGAGTATTTCTTAATATTGTCTCCTCAAGTGAATTGTTCCTGCGACGAAGAGATGGAAACTGTTGAATTGTTAGTTTCTGTTGAACGCATAATTGTCCTGAAATATAGTATAAAGGCGGATGACAAGTGTCACCATTGTAATAACCAGTGTAACCAGTGTAACAATTACATAGTTCATAATGCTCAACTCGCTAGGCAATTACATTTAATTTTCGTTGAACTTTTCACTATTTTTTTTTTTATAGAAAATTTGAAATTTCTGAGATTTTCCTGCTCAAAATGTTTTCTCACGTGAATTGCCACTTTATTCCAATTCTCCGACACGATTAAATAATCTTCTCAGCCGCCAGAAAATACAGCATCATCTCCAACATCGACCAAGAAAAAGCAGAACAATAAAAATGGAACTCAGATTCAAGCTCAGTAGTAATCTATATTTATTAAGCTAGTAAACTAGTAAACTGGTAAAAACTTGGGATATGCTTATTGGTTATTAACAAAAAAAAGTAAACAATGAAATTATTTGAATTATTCCATCATGATCAATAACTAAGGCTAATCGCTTTGCACCTCCTCCTCACTTGCACTAGGAGTCTCATAAGGGATTTCTTCTGGTGTCAGCAGAAACTGGAGGTCCTCGAAATACTCCCACACAGGTGTGAAAGTTTCCTCACTCTGTCTCTTCAATTTCAGCAAGGTGTAGAAAAACTCTCCAAGTTTCAAGAAGGTGGACCACGCCTGATATCCTAAAAATTCATCCACAAAAATAGAAATGACAATAGAAATCATTTCTATTGAATTTTCTATGATTTTGTGATCGGTTCTTCGGACGAATTCCCTACCTCATCGTCTGATTGTTTTCATTAAAATGTTGAATTTCCAATATTTTATAGAAAAAAGTGAATAAAAACCCATTTCCGATAAATTCCATCTCATTGAAATATTTTCCATATGAATCCAGAAACTCAAATTTTCGTAAATCTTAGACTAGAAAAAATCTAATAAATTTTATATTCATTAGATTTTTTTGTGGAAAAAATTTTCTGGAGAAAATGAATTAATGGTCGCGTAAAAAGATGAGGTTCTACAATTTTTTTTGCATATACAAGAGTTTTCATTCGACATTTGACATGAAAAGAAGTTCCCTCATGAAGCAACCTCAGAGTTGTCGCTGGCTCAAATCTTGATCTATCAGGATCGTTGTAAAACTACACGATTATTCAATAAAATCGTCCGAAAAATGATAGAATTTTCAAGCGAGTTCAATCGGGATCCGGTTGAGTTGAGCAAACGCAGTTGATTTGAAATGAAGGAGAGATGGACAAACCTGAAATTGGGGGATTCAATTGAGCACCTATGGAATTCCAGATTGGCCAGACTTCTTCTATGTATTCCGAGAATCCATTCCACCATACTTCGCGGTGCAGTCTCACCAAACATATCAACTTTTTCATTTGGGATTTCTCCATTTCTTTGATTCATTCAGTAATCCGGGGACTTCAAAGAGTAAACACAGCAGGTTTAACAGTGATTCATATGAATGCAGCGCTTGATGAGATAGGTTTTCAACTGTTTCGTTCTATTTTCAGTCTACAAAAATTCCATTTCTTTTTTACCCTAAATTTTTTTGGAAAAAGTGCATTGTCCTTGAATTCAAAAAGTATGTAAATCTGTAAATTGTTTCAATTCTTCCATTGGAAGAGAATAATTGAAGGGGATTGACTGGATTGAATAAGACAGGAATTGAATGTGTTTAAACAGCATTGATCAGCAATTGAAAAAGTAAAAAATCGGGTTTTCTTATGAGATGGCTTGATGAAGCTCAAGCATTGAGATGCTGGGACCTTAACAAGCTTGAATCGTTTGTTACTCGATTGAGAAACTGCAGGAATGGCTTTTTGAAATTGCACATTAGATGTTGAAAGATCGTTGGCCTGATAAAATTTCTCAAACGATTCCAGTTGCACTTGTCCCATATGAGTTCGTTTCCTACTGGCGAGTGAAGCAATCACGGGGTGGTCCGATGTCGATGGAGCAGTTGAAGTGGTAATTCTTGAGGAATCATTTCGCGAAAACGATCCAAAGTCATCTCGTGCTTCATAAGTACCTGATGTGACAGTGGCGTTTGGAAGAGTCAGAAATTTCTCAGATGATTTCGAAGGCTCTGGTGAGTTTGATGGAATAGAGAAGCTTGGTGAGAGCTTGTCAGCGTTCAACAAGTCCGCGTTGTGATCTCTAACTTCTACTTCTCCTCGGGTAGAATCCTCATCATCAGTCCCGTCAATATTCAATTCATGCAGGTCAATTATATTCATTTTCGGTGCCCTCTTTTTGATGATGTGACTAACACTCTTCAAGAAGAAAAGATTCGAGATCAAGTTGGCATCAAGTTCATCCCATTTTTTGTTGAGTTCTTGAATTTGAGTAAGTGCCCGTGGTGTCGCAACCTTAACACAGATTCCTTTCGCCATAGATCGATGATTTCTCTGGGAGGTTTCCAGGATGTCCAGAAGTTCCAACATAAAAGTCCAAGGGAGAGGTCTCTTACTCAGTCGATGGCGGAGTCTTGCATGGTAGGACTCAATGATGTTGTTAGTCCTGTGTATTGAACGATAAACAGAGAACTCTTTTTGCCTGTGTGACTCTATCCAAGTTTGCTCCATGTATGCAATGAAAGGCTGAAACCTTGTGGAATATTTTTCGTTCATTGTTGCAATAATTTCCTTGAAGGCTGAGTGTATGTGAGAAATTGAGAGTAGTGCCAGCATCATGAATAGTCTCAGAAACGACTTCCCGTCTTCATCTTCTTTAATCTTCTTCCAGATTTTAAGCTCTCCAGCTCTCTTTTGAAGGGCCTAAATATTTGTAAGAACATAGTAGGCATTTAAAAAATTAAGTGGAAAAACCTAGCGTTTCATCGAGTTCTATTAGAATACTATTGTCAAATTCTGTTGTTTTTTTTTGTTTCAATGCTATTGAAAATTATGCACTCGATCATTTTACAACTCAGTTCAATTTCATTCGATGAATGAATCATCGTTGACATTCATCAAGCAATTTTCTGTATATCAGGTAAATTACGTTCATAAACGTTCATTCATTGATTCAGCAACTGACTGTTCATCTATTTTATGCATTTATACCCTGAATTGTTATTGAAACTGCTGGATATCTCATTTTGTTCATTTGTAAGTATTTTTAACGATTAAAGTAAACCGTTAAATCAATCCCAAATATATTATTTAATTCATCCATTAATTTTTCTTCTGACAAAGTTAACATTTCTCATTTCATCAGTCAACGAAATAAATTAGTCAATAATTTAATTATTCTATCAATCATGACTTGAATATTGGAACTTCTATTGATTTATTCTATAATAGGAAAATCTTATCAAATCTTTGCGCCATTTATATAGAAGATATTCAATAGATAAGTAAATTAATTTTTTTCTTCATGAGAAGTCTTAGGCATGAATTTTCGTGAGTTTTATCATAGGAAACGTATGTGAATACAACGGAAAAGACTTAGAAAATGTACTTAGAAAATATATTCAGTTTTCTATTAAATATCTTCAATTGGAATGACCTAACAGTAAATAGAATTTCAATAGAAATTCAATTTAATTTCGTTTTCTCTCTCGGTTTTTCTGTTAAATTTATTTATACGTGTAATTTATTAATTCATTCATTCATTTCGGAAGTGTCTAATCGAATCCAATTAATATCCACAAATGATTAGAATGTAATTCTTCTCTTCAACTTTATTTATTGAGAAATTCTTAGTAATGAGAATCCCTAGGTGAAAATTGAAGAAACAATTCACTAATCAAAGGATAGATCAATAATTAAATATTGAAAAGAGGATAGACACAAAGTTACGGAAATTTTCGAGAGAACCCGCATAAAACTAATAGAACGTTCATGAAAGCTTAATAGAAATTTGAAGAGAATTTTCCGCAAAATTCACGCGCTTTTTCTATAACATTATTTTGTGTTTGCTTGTCAACTCACTTGGCAAAAGGGGAAAAGGCATGCAATGAGGATTGCTAGTGGCAGGAATTTTCTGAGCGAGTTTCTTGCAGCAATTTCGAAATCGGTCATAACAGTTCCTTTATAAGTCCCAAAATCGGCAAAAATCTTCCCAAAAACTGCATCATAGGCTTGTTCTGTTTTTCTGCTTATGATTATCCATGCAATTTTATAAGGCTGTGAAGTTTTCAATCAAAACCAATTCAGATAAAAATATGAAAAAAAATATTTTTGGTTCAAACACTTCCCGCAAATTCCGAAACGTTTAGTTTAAATCACAATGTGACAGACGCAAATTTCTCGTTACCCACGGCGTGAAATAAATTATGTACCCGGATATTTTGAAAGTATATTGTCTATACAGAAGCTAGACTCGATCTTTATCTCTGTTCATACTGCAATAGAATTGTTTTAATTATTGAAAGTGGAATATAACATACCAGGTTCTCTTCTACTGCGATCACTGTAAGCAATTGATAATTCTTCAGATTCTTTCTATCAGCAATTAAAGGAACTCTGGAGAAAGTACCATCAATGCAAATCATATCTGCATGGATGAATTCTTTGAAGAATTCAGGATTCCAAATGAGGACCGAATTACATCCGTCATAATCGGTTAACAATTCTACCTTTAATTTTCCATAAGCGTATGTGAGACGATCAGTCCATTGCTCATTTGACATAATATCATAGAATTCACGGATTCCTTGAGTAATTTTCGGTGGGGAAGGGCCACTTTTCTTTGTTCTCTGCATCGTCTTTCGTTTGCTTTTATAAGGGAAGTCTTCGCTAATTTCAGGGTAACTATAGTAAATTACAATTATTATCATCGGTAAGAACTCTGCAACCTCTAAATAACGTACTCCTTGGCCACTTCATTATATACGCGGTGGGGATCAGCATGCTTGGACATTTTTGTTTTCAATGCATTGTGAAAATCTTGTTTTCCTTGTGCCGTCTCGTCCGGGTCACACGCATGAGTATTAGTAATTCGGAATCCATTCTCATCTTCGACAGCTCGACCGAAACAGTGTCCAATGAATTTACATTTATAATATCTGAAGGAAATATTTACCAGAATAAATATTTTGCGGCGTAAATGAATCAACCCATAGAAATAAATTGGTTTTCACAAATCAAATCAATATCTCCTGGAAAATACGCAAAAAGTAAATTAATCGTAATCTGCTAGTAATGGAAACTCACTTGGCCTTCCCCTTCTGGCCTTCAGATTGATAGCTATAGCCATCGACTATTTTTGGCATTGTCAGAGATCAAGGAAAAACCGGGTTCATCATTCAAACATATATTTCAAAAAATTAACAAACTCACCGAATGATTGATAAAAATGAAGGAATTATTTTGTTGCTATATTGCTGAAAACAATGGCGATTTATATTAAAAACAGTTGAGGGTTCATGGAATGTAATGAAAAAACTACAACTTCCGGAAGCTCAGAAAAAGATTTAGATGGAGGTCTTAAAAAATTTAATTAACAAATCGAGTGCTCTCTGAAAAATTACATTGGATGTCTATTGTAACTCCATAAAAATTTGATTTGAAAATTTTATCAGAATTCTATTGGACATTTATGTTGTTTTTTTGTACCAATTCGATGACAAACTATTCTAATTTATTATCTTTTTTTTTATAGGCATTCAGATAGAGAAAAAAAAGGTTTATAGATGTTAAATAGTTCGATAATTTTCTGTGGTCATGAGTTTTCTGTCCTGAATTTCACTACGGCAAACGAATAAAAGTACAGCGGGAAAATTTTGAAAATATACACCCACAAGTTTTATAGAAATTGAAGAGTTTATAGACATTTTCTGTCAAATATCATATTGACAAAATAAAATGGCAAAGATGCATAATCGTCTATAGAAACTATGCAAAAAACAAACACAACTTTGTATGAAAAATCTGATAGTACTCCTATAGTTCTAATGAAATTTCGAAAGGGATCTTTGTCCAAGTTTTTTATACCAAATTCTTCCATGTGCGAGTGTATATGAGGAATAATCCGTGCTGGAGCCTTTGGGTATCGAGAGTAACTGTTCAAATTTTTCTTCACTCTTCCGATAGAATCCTTTCTATAGAATTGAAAATGAAAATAAAAAATAACTAGTGAAAGATCTTAAAATTCGTACAAATTCGAGAGCTTCCAGCAGCATTCACAGAAATTCCCCAATGTCTGGGGTGGCAGGGAGAGACCAGACGTGGGCAAAAAGAGAAAATTATCCACAACGTCAAAATTTCATTTTGTTTAGTTTAATCAAGTTCGAGGAACAGGATGATCCATTACTCCGCACAGTGAATGACATCGAAAGAGTAAAATAATTACAAACCAGGCAAATTATCTATTCACCAGAAGAATATTAATGATTTTCTTATTTAAATTCAACATTCCTCCAACTCATGTTGATCGCATTCACCTGAGAATCTTTTCAAGAAAATTCAAGCAGAGTTATTCAATAGATCAATAACTCTGTGGAAAAATATCTCTTGATATTTTTTGGTGTCATCATCTGGTTACAAATTAATTTTTCGCGTGTTGTTTTAAGGTTGATGTTCTAAGGTTTCTGATTCGAAATATCCATCCTGGGGCTGCTGAGGAGTCTCTCGAACATTTCTCTCTGATTTCTTTTTCTTCTCAGGTTTCAGGTACAGCTGATACTAGTGATATGTGAAGAGAGTAGTTGTACTCTGTAAACTCGGGTTGAGCTCTCCACAGTTCGGCATTCATTATTTCCACAGTTGGCCCGAGGAGCAATCTATGTTGTCAAAAATATCAAGGATTGATCAATCAATCACTCATCAATAATAAATGCTTTCTGGATCAATTATATTGGAGCAATACTCACCTCTCCTTTGAATTGTCGTGATTCCATATATTCAGCTTAATTTTAGGCATCACTCATTAGTTTCACTGATCAATTAGAGGTTCTTAATTGAAAATATTAATTAAAATGTTTTTCATTTCCAAACACTGGGAAACGTAACCTATTGAATGAAAAAGTGACATTTCTAGCGTAGGGCGGCCTTCATATCAAAATGGCCGCCCCATCGGTAACTTGGCCCAGTCGATAATTTGGCCCTTTCGGCAGTATGACCCTTACCCGGCGCTAGCAATCTCCCTTATAATCTCTGGTACGAAAACCCGTATTGGTCATTATTACCCCGTATTCGAGATCAGCTGCACGGGGGACCCGTATAGCACCCGTATTGTGTGCCAATAGTCACTCCGAAATAAAAAACGAATAATCATCGTTATGGGATCTATTTTATCGACGGCAGTTTCCCCTAGTAACCTTCTCCATCGGCTGTGGTTGCTGATAACTACTTCGTCAGTCTCTCTCCTTTACCAACAATATTGTCGATAAAGAAATTCCACAGAGTGATGAACAAAAAAAAGAATTAGTATGTGGAATCTTTCGTACGCACGCTATTGAGGGGGCGCCACTGCAGTGTAGAAATATACTGCATCATTTATATTTCTTTTAAAATTGAGTCATAATCACTCGGACCTTATATTTATCATATATTTAATAACAAGGTTTTCACCCGAATGTTACTTAGAGCAATTGAAGATTTACTAGTAGTACGCTTCCGTGAAAGAGGGTCTAAGGCCTAGTGAGATTCGGGAGAAGTTTCGACGAGCCAAAGGATTATCAATTTGAGTTGTGACTGTGGAGACCAAAGAGACTCTTTGGTGGGGACCACGAGTAAGAGTGGAAATTGAATAGAGTGGGGAGTCCCATTTCACGGTCCCTTTCCGACTGTAAGACGTATATTATGAAATTGTTCCTAGAACGTCAAATGAACTAAATGAAAAATTAGAATAGAAAAATCCAATAAAAGTCTTGTAGGTTATTGCTATTGAATGATTCTGCCTCTCAGTTACAGCAATTTAGGTCATTTGATGTTGGATAATTGTTCCGCATAGTCATCATAAAGTATCAAATTCTTTAGCACTGACTCATATCCCAGGGATCCCAGTTGTGGCGATATTATAGTATCATACGTCACTAGTCTCGAACAACGGACCATCCATCATCCAAACTCCGAGTCCACCGCCTATGTCACGTTCATTATCCTATGAATTAATAATAAATTCTCTGAATTAATCTTGGCCGAAGACGATAAAATCTACACTTGAAAGTTGCAATGGTAAGTGCTCCGGAATCGTTTCACAATTTGAGGTTAAATATGAATAATTCTGTCATTTCCATATGTTATAAGAAGATTAATAGGGTAATCTGTTGAATTCCAGGCGTCGTACTCAGAGGATCAGTTGGCGGGTAAGTGACCGTCTTTCTACCTCTAAAATTATTGATGTCAATGAACCAACCGATTTGACCATTTTTTTTCTGTTTTTTAAACTCTGCTTACAGCGTCTCTTTCCCTCAATTGAGGTCAAGAGTATCCTTCCCTTTTTAGACACACCCCAGCGTTACCAGTTTCTCCATTCAGAATTGCCATTTATGGACAGTTATTTCAACACCTATACCTTTTCCATGTACATCTTGACATAGCCAGTGGATTTCGCAGATCACTGAACATTTTCTCGCGTTTATACTGTTGAAGATTTGACGCAGTTTATATTGAGATTTTGAGGGTATCGTTTGTTGCCGAGTTCTTTCATTTTATTTATTGGATTTTTTGAGAGGACTTTTACGCGATCATGTACGTTAGTTATCAGGAACTCACGAATAGGATGCTCTCGTCTATGGACGGTAAATATTTCGATGAATCAGCTTCAACCCCTTATGCATGAGACCCTTTTGGTTCCAATGGATCCAAAATGAAAGAAAAAGGAGCAATAATCGAAATAAAAACATTGGTCCTGACAGCAGTGTTTGTAAGAATTTGTAACGTTGAATATTTTCAAAAATATTCAAGCTGCGACGTTAATCAGTGGAGTTCAGAAAATCTTCGCAAGTTATAAAGATTTTTGCAACAGTGACTTTTCAGGGGAATTAGATTAATGCAATCGATTATGAAATGAAAAGTGTACCAAATGTGTCATTATTGATTGCAATCATTTAGAAGTGAAGTGGTCAAATAAGATTATGTTGATTGAAATTCATGATTCGTGAATTCTTCGAAAAACCTGTTGAAATTACAGAGAAATAACGCAATTTGCATAAGGTTCTTTTAGCTTCCCAATGGCCACTCAGTATCGTTAGAAAATCCAATTATCCGATTTTCATAATCAAAGTTAAACACTAGCGTGCGCTATTATAGGGGACCTCTACTGAACCCCGATATGAATAAGAAATTACGATTAAATTACTATTACTATTAAAACCATTATTAATGGTAAAAAAAATTGATTGCTAATGCCCTCCTATTTCTAGCCAAATTTGATGAGAAGTCGACTATCCGTTAGTAAATTACTGCAAATTAATATTTTTTGAGATATTCTTTTCGAAAATGAGTTTTCAACAATTAGTGGCAAAATGATCGTTGAAATCAAATAAATCATGTCTTCAGAAATGTTTGACGCGTTCTTTAGAAAGTGACTTTGTATATGAGTATATGCATGTATTTGTGGTTGTGTGTTGGTGATTTTCTTAGAAATTCCTTTAAAAATAAAATCTTTGTTATTAGGCAGGGTGACGAAATAGAATCGAAGTTTAATCCATTCAGAAGCATATTAGTAATTTTCTTAGCAACAATAGTTAGGCTCAGTGATAAAAATATGAGCACTTTGAAGAGAAGGTTCTCATGAAAATTTGACTAACAATTTTATATTCAAAAATCGTCATCCAGAGCTGAACTCAAAGTTAATTAAAGACATTCTTTTTACCCCTCTGTAGTTTAGCTCTTCTATATTTCATAAAGAAATAATGCATATCAAATGAAAATGGTTTAAAAATTGTTAAGCATCCTCCGTCAATTTCGAGTAATCAACCTTAAAGATTATCAATTCGGTCGTGATGTGCAATAGAAACGATACAACGATACAACGATTTGTAATAATCTGAAAACGGCCAAAATTTATTTTTCTACTTTCCAGAGTTTCAAGAGGCATTCCAGCTCTTTGACAGCCGCGGAGATGGTAAAATCCATGTCTCCCAGATTGGCGATGCTCTGAGAGCCCTAGGACAGAATCCCACCGAGAGTGACGTGAAAAAGTTTACTCATCAGCATAAGCTCGATGAGCGTATAAGCTTCGAAGTCTTCCTGCCGATTTATCAAGCAATCAGTAAAGCCCGAACTTCAGATACTGCTGATGACTTCATTGAGGGATTGCGTCACTTCGACAAAGATGGCAATGGTTTCATTTCTTCAGCTGAATTGAGACATCTTTTGACAACGCTTGGTGAATATTTTTTTGTCAAAATAAAATCAATAGTTAAATGGTAAAAAACCGAATTCGTCGGATTTTAGACTTTTAATAAAAACTTTAAATAATTCATGATGACAACAATTCTCTATTGTACGAGAAGTTTAAAATCAATTTTTTTATCGCTTAGACATAAAACTGTTCCATGCAAATTTTGTCTCATTTCATCAATTTGTTTACAGGAGAAAAATTGAGTGATGAAGAGGTAGAAACTCTTCTTGCTGGTCACGAAGACTCCCAGGGTAACATCAATTACGAGGATTTTGTGCGTCAAGTCATGTGCGGCTAGAACTTAGACTTAATTTATAACAACCACAAAAATAAAAAACCACAAAAGCTTATCCATAAAAATAGTATTGAGTTAGTAAGTTTCCACTTTAAATTCCTAAATTATCTATAATTACTATAGTTTTTGAATAAGTGAAATTAATTAATCAATTTGCTTAATTAACTTACATTATTGATCTTTATGTACACTTTTTATATAAACAATTGATGAATAGGGGAATACGAATTAGATGAGTAGATTTAAATGTTAGTGAGTTGTGCCTTTTTCCAAGTAGATTATGCATTCACTCCAACTATGGTAATTGTCCCTACATGAAGAATAGAACTTAAATATATTTGAGATGAATACGAAATATACACACCAACTAATGATATGTATACATGTATACTTTGATATTACAGTCAGTAGAAATGGACGAAGATAATAAAAATTATCTGCTGATTTCAAGTATTTCGTACGGCATTTGCTGATAATAGTGAAATTTCCACTTTTTGATTTTATAATTAATCAAATAAAATGAATCACCCCAACTCGAAAGAGAGAGAGAGAGAGAGAGATTTAATATTGTTTGTTACATTGCTTCATTGTTAGTTTTCTTCCATTCGGATTTCGTCAATTTCTCACACATACATTGGCTTCTGCTTCTCTTATAAATCGGATGTCTTCGCGTTTAAATGAATTTTTCCTTGACAATTTCACTTCTGCGGGCATTTCATTATACATTTTTAAACCTTTATACATTACAATATTTTGTCCGTACCTTGTGGATCTCAATTTCAACTTCACATTATCACTAATCCTTATCTTCATAGCCTCGTCGCCAAGAGTTATCGGGGTGTCGATCTTCCTCTTCGTAACCAATTTGTGTACGTATTTTATCACATTCTGTTTTACTCTTTGCTCTACTGATAGAAATTCCAACACATCTTGAGCATGTCAGTTATTTTTGTTTACCTTCCCAGTAAACAAAAGGTTTTATAAACGTATAAATTGAACTTCAAGACGTTGTCGAAAATTGATGAAAAATACATATTTGTAAAACGTTTAATTTTAAGCAAAATGTCCGTCTCGCATACGTCTTCAAAACATGTTCATAAACCCGGAATTAAGATTAAATATAAGACCTTTTCTTATCGTTATTCTCAATACGTTTCAAATTAGGGGTGTGCGAATAGTGTTCGCATCGAATTGAATCGAATAGTGAAAATCAATTCGAAATTCGAATTGAATAATTCGATATTTCAAATTATTCGAAATGAATTATTCGACATTTTTCCAATAATTCGATATTTTTTAAATTATTATCAGTACTAGCATTATACAGCACGCTTCGCGCGCTCGGCACTTAGTGTCTGCATTTTCAATTCCATTGCTGAAGAAATTAATCATTAGATTAATATGAACATAATATTTTATATAGTTCTCAGATGCAATTGCATAATTTATCATCACAATTTCACGTGGTTGATTATCAATGAAGTGGATGTGAATATATAATCTCCATAGGTTTGTCTTATAATTAGTCTTCGTCTTATAATTGTCAGGGGAAGAGGTGTTGGTCTGTGCGGTCGTTAATTTTAAATAAACGTTGATTTTGCAGAGTCTCACGAAGATATATCGGCAATAGATCACGTTTTTCCTAAACAGTGAATGAGTCATAATTAAATTAATGAGAATTTTTTTCCATGTAAAAAATACACAGTGATATCTTTCCTGTCTAAAGGAATTTGATCGTATGCTATCCTTTCTTTGATTGTATCCCCATTTTTAGCGCGCAATTGCTGCTCTAACTTGGTGTCGTTTTAGTGAAATTGAGTTCCATGAGTATTGCAACTGATGGATATTAATCTTAGCCCCCTTCGACCTTCTCCGCATTTTGCCGTCGAATTGAATGGGAAAGCATTAGTGGAATTCGTCAGCGATTATTGCCTGCATTAGTGGTGTTTTACCGAAAATTTGTTGGAAAATGGCCATTGGGGCGGTGCTACAATTCATTGTTATACTTAAATTGGACTTCTCAAATGTGTGAACCATATCCATCGTACCTATATTACAAATATTTTACTATATACCCATACCACCCCGTGAAACTTAATGATCAGATGATAACTTTCCTAATTTAAGTGATTTTTATACGCGCATTTTCAGAAAAAATCAAGCATATCGGTGTAATTATCAGCAGTAACCATTTTCGACCTAGCATCAACATGTGTCAGATTTTGATACCATCCTCCTTGACCAAGAGAATAAAATAATGAATTAATCGATGGTTCGAGTCTCTTCTAGAACTGTCTTCGTTTTAATGAAAAAAAGCGATGATGAGACTTTCTCAGAGAACCAATTGTTTCCAACTTTCTAAGATCTAAAATACGTTTGTGGAATATCCCCATTTATTGTAATTGAGGAAATAACTATACCACTCCATTAGACTGTTTTGCATTATAATGATCATGATCCAAGTCAGATCTTGAGCGGAATGTCAAGAATAATTCCGATCAGGATTCTCCCTCATCGAAATCTGTCATTTGATTTTTTTGTGCCTAAGATTCTTCATGCATCGTTTCATATGATTCAAAACGAACAGTTTTCCTTTCCGTGTACACTGTTAGAAAAGTACCCTTGAAATTTCTCGTAGAATATCTTGAAGGTTTGAACGACCATTTTGTATTAAGTTTCCCTACATATTGGTATTGAAAAATCTCTCCTGTTATGTCCGGAGAAAGATTTTAGCGTCGAAAGGACATGTTTTAATTGTCACATTAAAATCAAAGCTAAAATTATTAGATTTTATAATTATTGGACGACGCAAAGTTTTATACTCTTACCTTTTTCTATAATATAAAGGAAAAGGGTTTGATTTAGGGATAGGGCTTGAGTTGAGACTAATTTCTAATCAAGAAATTTGGAGTTGTAATGTGAATCAAATTTGAATTTAAACATATTTTGTATAACTATTCGGTTTACAAAAACATAAGCGTGATTTTACAGAAATCTATGTAGTTAAAATTCCTATCCCTGGAATGATCTGAACGATTCAAATTTGGGTTCACAAATGTTGTTACTCACAATTCGGTCTGTTATTTATAAATTATTTGATTTGTTTGTAGATCCCTGGGTAAATCCGTAATTTCCTCACCAACAATTAGTCGTGTTAAAGGCTATTCCCGTCTCGGCGTAGGCGCAAAGTCAGAGTTCCCTCCCGCGAAGCGGGAGGGAAATGTAACTTTGCGCCCGCCGGGACGGAAAATCGCGTTCTAACCACGGGAACTAAAATAAAGGACCCTCAGCCGCGTGCTTACCAGCCTCGCCTTCGGCTCGGCTGGTAATTGCACTGGCGGCTGAGGATCCTTTATTTTCCCTCCCTAGGTTAGAAATATACTATCTTCTACTCGTTGATATTTTAATGAATTTTGACAGTTGAATTTTAAGATTTTAAGAGTTTGTTTAAGACTGTCCACAACGCGTCATAATGAACGAATTCCTTATTTGTAAGATGGTTCGCAACTTGCTATTAATTCAGTACTATCCCGCGGAATCGAAGGAAGGATTGAAAAACCAGACCCATTAAATGAACTATTTCCACCAGAATTGTTACTGCTTCGTCGCTGCTTCAAGACTGCTTAATTTTGGTTTTTCTGACATTTTTATATGAATTTTGGAGTCACTTGTCACATGGGCTCCAACGAGTCCATTTTTAATTGGTGGAAAATGTATGACTTTTCCCACTCTTTTGATTTTTATGGGGAAGTAGTTCATTCAGTTTTTGGGGTTTCAATTAATCGGTTTTCAATCGTTCCTTCGCGTGCGAATCTTAGTATTGGGTAATTGGGGTATGCTGAGTGTGCCATTTCATCACTTTTGAACTCGATTCCACTGTCTTTGAAATTTTTTATTGAGTTCAAGTGATGAAATGCACTCAATTTAGTTTACAATTGTTGGTTTGGTTCTTAATGATTTCACATAAAATTATTCTGGCCTTAAAGTATCTAGTACAAAATCGGACATTACAGCCCCCGCTCAAAATTGTTTCCAATTGCATTTGGAAGCAATTTTGAGGAGTTGGAGTTTTTTTAATTTTCATGTGTAATGTATTGAGTTATTTTAGCTTTATAATCGTGCACCGAGCGGTGGCCGTGAGCGGCTGGATGCTGACGGTGACATTTTTGTGGGTTCGGATTACATTGTATTTCCGATTCAGCTATCGGTTTTTTTTTATTCACTTATTATGATTAGGTTCTGTTCTAAATTGATCGATAATTGTTCCACGATGTGGATCTTCTTTGCGGATTACAATCACTTAATATTGTAAATACTTTGTTCTGATTTTTGGCGGAATTTCTATCCTGTTAGATTATCTTCCTTCGTTCTCTTACCCTTTTAGGCATTTGAGTTAACTCTTAATTTGACCTCAATTTAAGGTGATAGTTCCACTTCTTTGATAATTACGGATGGTATTTTTAATGCTCTAATTATTGTCTCATTTTTAATTGAGAAGTTGATAGTCGACATCTACGATTGTCATACGTGTAATTATATAGTAATCGGGATAGGCCGTAGAAGGAAATTCAGATGGTGGAATGAATGCTAGAAATGAATTCCTTGAATATAATCAGATTCAATGCCCTATCTCTTCAATTAAGTTCGGATGTTAACAATGGATTTTATCAATAAGTAACAATAACTTCTAAATTTTTCGTTAAAAAAATCGGCATTGATGTTGTATTGGTCAATTCTTGACAGAGTAAAATAATTGAATTAAAAAATTGGAATTCAATTGAAAAAAAAACCTCGTCTCCTGAAATGATCCTAAATAGAACTATTATGTGNAATTATATAGTAATCGGGATAGGCCGTAGAAGGAAATTCAGATGGTGGAATGAATGCTAGAAATGAACTCCTTGAATACAATCAGATTCAATGCCCTATCTCTTCAATTAAGTTCGGATGTTGACAATTGATTTTACCAATAAGTAACAATAACTTCAAAATTTTTCATTAAAAAAAATCGGCATTGATGTTGTATTGGTCAATTCTTGACAGAGTAAAATGATAGGTTGGTTAATAATTTGATTGGATTACTTTGTTCGAAAGTAGTAGTTGGAATAGGGTAGAATTTGCCTGATTCTTCTATCATTTTTCTATTGGTCTATTTATCGGTGTCATTGCGATTATTGTTTTTGTATCCTAAAAACATTTAATTAACTACATAAAGAAAACCTCGGCGTGTAGAGTTTATTCGCAAATATCATTCTGTAGAGGTCAGATTCCTAGAATTTACAACTCTAGGGAATTCAAAAATTGAATGTGGTATTCCAGCGAATGTAAAACAAAGGTACAGATGACAACAGGTCAAGAAGTACAACACAATAACAGAGCAGATGCAAATAATCAAGAGTCTATGACATATGCTAATACAGCCTCAAATACAAATACATCTCTCTCCCTCCCTC